CGTATCTAATTTTAGCCACACAATTTTGGCCATGGCTAGGGTACGGTCTGGTCTTTTGTAGAACCGACGCAACCCTAAATAAGGTTTTTCATAATTTGAGGATACTCCGATTTGCGAAATTAGTAAATGCATTACTGTTACAGTACAGCGGTATAAATAAGGCACACAACGTATTAATTAAGTTTTTACAATTCTCGCAATAATAAACTTAATAAATTTTTACGCATACGTATTGATCTTCTTTAAAATAAGTTCTATAGAAATGTCTGATTTAGCTGTAACAGATCGTATGTTTAAAAACTAGTCTTAAGATAATGCCTTATAACTATATAAACGTTTTACGTGTTACCATACTAAATTATATTCATATCCTGCAGATGAAAACTTTGCAAATAATAAAATGCCAAATCTTGGTTGTGAGATTGAAGATTTCCAGCATTACACGTGGCAAATCACTGGTTGGGGAAATCTGGATGAATGGGTAATAAGTCCTGAATTTATTGCTGGAGGTTGGAGATGGTAGGCTCATTTATGCTTAATTTATATGTAAATACATATGATCATATTTTCTTATGAGCCTAAAATTTAGGCGTATTTTGCTTTATCCTTTTGGAAATAATAATGTTGATTTTGTATCAATTTACCTGGATACTGCTACTAATGGAGCACCTAATGGTTGGCATTCCTGTGCACAGTTTGCTTTGACCTTATGGAATTCAGAAGATCCAACATTATATGTTTGTCACAGTACATATGAGAACTATTTCATTCTGTAAATCTTAATAAGTCTTGTCGCTAATATATTGATTTTTACTTATAGCTGCAAACAACCGTTTTAATGCTGAAGCACCGAATTGGGGATATCCACAGTTTTGCGAACAGCGTAATTTGTTTGTTCCAATGGAAAATCAAACTCGTCCTCTAATCGAAAATGATTCGTGCAATATCACAGTTTTCGTTCGTGTTATTAAGGACCAAACTGGCTTTCTCTGGCATAATTTTAAAAAGTATTATCTTTTTTTTTTCTTTTACTTATATTTTGAACTTAAAGTTGACTTTTAACATTTAAACCCTTTATAGTTATGACTCAAAACGAGAAACTGGTTGTATTGTCCTAAAAAATGAGGGAACAACTGGATATAT